AATATTAGCTACATTTGTACACTGACTAACAAATAGCCAAGAGTCGTTTAGGACGCATAGCCTGGAGTCTGTCTCTTTCTCTCTCTTTCCGTCTGTCCACCGATCCACAGAGAAGCTATTTAAACTGCAGATCAAACAAGCTCCTTTCGGATGGTTCGAATTGGCACATTCCTAGGTCAAGGGAAGTTCCTAAATCACTTACCAGGTGTGTGACTTTGAGCTGTCCCCTGGCGGAGAAGCCAACAGTTTGAGTTGAAATGGGAGACAGGAAAGTCACATGCTGGGAGAGAGCATGAGACTGTTAGGTTACGTCTGGCAATGACCACTGAAATATAACAGAAGTCAAGAATTGAAAGATACCTTTGCAGTAGAATTCAACTCCATCATATAGATGAGCAAGCAGAGGCCCAGAAATTTGCCTCAGTGATTTACGCCGGGAATATAACAGAACCAGGGCGAGAAAACTGACACTCCACTTAATGGATGCAGGACTTTATTATGAACGCTTTGTAACAACAACAATAAAATGGGTCAGTTCTATTAAATTATTCAATTTTGCTAGAGAGCAGAGCACTCTATCTATTGTACTAATTTCATTTCATCCTCCCAACAACCCTGTGAAATACATGCTGTTATTACTTCCCCTGTACACTTAAGGAAACAGGCCTAGAGAGGTTAACTATCTTGCCCATGGTCACACAGCCAGTAAGTCCGAGTGCCAATTTAATTTAAAGTCCTATTTCCAAAGCCTGTACTCTTGGCCGCTGCAGAGTTTCTTCTCTCTTCTTCCAAACTCAGCTGCACATATGTGGGATTTAAACTGCTCTTGGTCCAGTCCTGAGTTTAAATACTTTCCTGGGGGATGGGCTCTGTCGAGTGAATGTCCGTGAAGTCCAGCTTCTCGGATTCTGCCATCAGCCCTGCCCAGGTTGTAATTCTTATCACAATGCCCCAGAATTGACCAAAGGGGAGGAGAACTTGAGGAGATGAGCAGGTGGGTCCAGGGAGACCGGGTCAAGCAGAAAGAAAATGGATTGAGAGTCAAATGGACCCAGGATTCAAACACCAGCTTTGCTATTCAGCAGCTGAGTAAAGATGGGCCAGTAGCTTGACCCTCTGAGCCTCCACAAATCAAGCTCGAGTCTCAGCAGGGCCCTCAGCCTTTCCGGTCAATCCCTCTGAGTCCCCTAGGCAAATCCCCAAACCCTCTCTTTTCTGCCAATCCTCCTGCTAAAGTTCCAGTCCCCTTGGTCTCGGCTGATAGCCCTATCCCCTGAGTCATGGGGGAAATTGAGGCCCATGGGTGCCCCTGAGGGTGTGGCCCTCAACTTCCTGCACCCTCCCTGCACCCGCACAGTCGTCTTGACCTCCTTATCTCCTTCCCTCTATTGTCAGCAAACAGGTGTCCTCCCCTTGTAAGACTTACCCTCCCTCCTGCTCTGCACTTCCATGCTCCCATCTCCTTCACAAATCTCCTCTGTCCAGTCTGTGCCTACAGCTTCTCTCTATGTTAACCACGGCTCCGATGACTGCAAATAGGAACCTGACGCAAGCTGACCTTTAAACAACAACAGAATTTTTTTTAAGTATTCAGTTGTGGCTGGATCCAGGCTCTCAAGTAACATGAAGAGGAATCCATTGGATTCCTCTGGATCCCTGGAGGTTGCTTTCCTCTGCACTGACTTCATTCTTCCTTCTCAGGCTTTCCTGGGTGCATTGCTATTCTAGACTAACATCCCAATATCTTAGCAACTTCTGCCAAAAAAGAATTTCCTTTTCCTAAAATTCTCAGCAGCCTGAAATTCAATCTTATTGCAAGATGTTGGGTCCTAGACCCATCTCTGGAGTAGTCACTATGCCAGGCAGGTGGGATGGCTGATTGGCCAGGCCTGGGTCACCAGCCAAGGGACTGGATCTATGCCTATCTAAACCAGCCATCTTGAGAGGTGGGGAGGAGTGGGTCTGCCAAGAAAAATAGAGCATCATTGCTAGAAAAAAAGGAAATGCCTACTGAGTAGGCAAGCCAGCGGATGTCCACTCTGGCTCATCCTCCTCAACACAGGAACATGCTAAGTCTTTCTCATCTTAAAAGCCCCTTCACTTCAAACCTGGGATCCCTCCTTCCTACTTCTAGGGCTTCTGCCTTATTTTCTCAGACAAACAGACTCTTGAAAGAGTTGCCAGTTCTCGTTATCTCCACTCCACTACAATCCATTCTTTCCTCAGTTTGGTGCGCTCTGGCTTCTGCCCCAGCATTCTATTGAAATTTCTCTCACTGAGTCATCAATGACCTCAAAATGGCCTCCTTTGAAGACTTTTCTTTCTTGACCTCACATTATTTGATACTTTGATCTTCCCTCCTTAAAAAAAAGAAAAAGAAAAAGAAAAAAATCTGAAAAAAGTAAAATATTCAAGTAGCATCAAAAGCTATACAGTGAAATTAAGGCACCCTCCAGTCCCCAATAGACTCCTAACTTGGCTCCTTGGTTCTCTTTCCCAGAGCCACCCACTGTGACCAGGGTCTTATGTGACCTTCTAGAGAGGCTGTGTTGAAGACAGAAGTACTGTACCTCATACGCAAGGATGTTAGCCCCCGTGCTCAATTTCCATGCCCTGTTTTACTCCCTTCTATCTTGGACATTGTTTTTTCTTGTTGTTTTGTTTTGTGTTTTTTGGTGAGGAAGATTGTCCCTGAGCTAACTTCTGTGCCAGTCTTCTTCTGTCTTGTATGTGGGATACTGCTGCAGCATGGCTTGGTGAGTCGTGCATAGATCCCTCCCTACCCGGGATCCAAACTTGTGAACCCCAGGCCTCCGAAGCGGAGCATGCAAACTTAACCACTACACCACTGGGCCCGCCCCATCCATCTTGGAGATTGTTTTTTATCTGCACGTCGAAATCTACTTCATTCTTTCGGTAGCGTCCTACTTTCTTATGTGTGTGAGTGCATCTGCAGGATAAATGCTGAGTCTCTCTCCTTTGAACCCCTCTTCTCCCTCATCTTTATGGCACCCAGCTCGCTCATTTGCCTCCTACCTCTGCAGCCATCCCTGGTGGAAAAGCTGATTCCGTAAAGACTTACAATGACAGTAGAACTTGGAGGTTTGAGACATGTCCGTGACCCAGAAAGGGAAAAAGAAAGCTAATTTGTTGCTTATTTACACAAGCAGTTTCTTAGAAACAACCACAGAACGCCCCCCAAGTAGGGTATGAAAAACACCTCAGAGGTGGTATGTGAATCTGCTTGAAATGTCTTTCCAAAGGCTTGGGTGGGAGTGGAAATGTGTCCCTTTTGCCCCTGGGCACACATCTTTTCCTCACTTCCTCTCACTGGGAGCCCCAGGGCCTGGCTTCACCTTGCAGCTCCCTCACATATCCCACCAGCCTTAGTGCGAAAGATTTTGTTTTGTGTTTTAAGTACCTAGGATAAGGGGCTGTGGCAGGCCTGCAGGACCCCTCTGTAGCCAGAGCACAGACACCCCCATCAGTGTAGCTCACTGGACAGGACTGGGTCAGGCAGCACTCAATGGCAGCTATCATGTCAAATATTTCACGTGCATTCGATCTAGTCATCCCCTGTGCACACTGCAAGGCACGTCTATTTGCTGTAACAGAAAACTTGGGTTAGGAAATTTAGCTAACTTGCTTAAAGGTTGGATAGCTGGGGATTGATGGTGCTGGGATTGGTACCCAGGTCAACTTTAAGTCCACGCCACAAACTCGGATACAAATTATAAGTCGGTGAGATAGATGTAATAGGAAGCCTGTGGTCTTCGGAATGGAACAGACCCAACTCTGAATCTTGGTTCTCCTCCTTTATCCTGTTTGACTTTGACCAAATTGTTTACTTTTCCAGTTATCTGTTAGGTGAAGCTAATCCTTTTCCTGCCTATCTCACAGATGCGTGAGAATCAAACTGTAAAAACATAGGCAAATTAAAGAGATTATTATTATTTGAGGGCTAGTTTATTTGAAGCCAGCAATGTGGGTTTAGGGTGAACGGTGAAGAATAGACAAGAAATATGATGCTTTGTTGACGTGGGAAAATGTTTGGAGCGTATTTCATCTAGTGTTGTAAAAGCAGGCTGAGGAATAAAGTAATAATTCTACATCTGTTTAAAGAGTAAAGAACATCCATCCTTCTATTCATCCAGCCATCTAGGACACAGGACACATTTTAACATTTATCATGTTAAAATGCTAACATAATAAAGATATTCGGGTGGTGGAATTACAAAGGGTTTTGTTGTTAATTTTTCTTGGTGCATTTGAAGAACTTGTTTGTTTTGGCAATAAATGTGGAAGACGACAGAAGAGTCTGGATCAGTTGTCGGATCTGGGATCAGATCTTAGATACTTAAGCTGTCTAACCCCATTCCTCATGGTACAGCAAAGACTTCGTAGAACTGTTGGGAGATCAGATGAGATACTGCTTGTAAAGCCCTTGCACAGTGTCTGGCTAATCAAAGGCACTTAATATATATCCTTATTCACCCGTCTGACAGTATCGAGTGCCTACTGTGTGCCGAAGCCTGTCTTGGGTCCTAGAAATGCACTGATGAGCCAAACAGAGGTGGCTTCAGCTCTCATGGAGCTCACAGTCCAGATGGAAGTACAGACAAGAAACGGATGAGCAAAGAAATAAACATGTGATTGTAGGTTGGGCTATTCAGGTATTTGATTTCCTATGAAGGAAGCGAACAGGATGCTCTAGTGGGGAATAAGGGAAGGGGGAATGGGGGACCTACTTTATTTGGAGGTGATCTGGAACAGCTTCTCTGAAGAGGTGGCATTTACACTGAGATCTGGAGGGAAACAAAACATTGCATTTTATTTTTAAATGAAAATTTAAAAAAAAAAAGAAACTTGCCATTGAGCACAAGACCCCTCTCTCGCCAACTTCCTCCTAAATAGCCACAAGAGAGCAAATGTCCCCAATTATAAGGGACCTTCATTATTCGCAGAAAAGGGGGCTTTAATCTTTCTTCTCTTTGCCCAAGGCCAGAGCATGCTGAATATTGTTTGACTGTGCTTGGGAGAAAAACCCTGGTCCGCAGACGACTTCTACAAATGATCAAATGTGTGTGCAGCTCCGTGCTTAGCGGCTTCTTCTCACTGAGTGGGGCCCTCCTGCCTTCTCCTGCTGCGGAGAACTGTAAGGCATAAAAAGGACCCTGAATTTCATTGAATTTGCACATTTTTTTTAAAAAGATACTCCTTCGTCTTTGTACCCAGGCTATATGGCTTGGGTCCCTTTTCATTGCAACCTTCTAGTTTCAGTTCCTGAGGATGTCCTGGAGTCTGATGGAGGCGCGGCAGGGAGCTGCACTGTGCCATTAGCCTCACCTTATCAAACCCGGTTGAGCAGTGAACAGCATCACATGGGTCTTCATCCTCTTCTCCAGCATCTCAGCCTGTCCCTGCCCACTTTTCACCTCCATCTCTTTCCTGGGCTCTTTCCTACCCTCCTTCATGGAAGCAATGCCCTTCCTTCTGGTCCCACTCAGCTTAGATGTCACCTCGTCCAGAGAGTCTCCCTGGCCCTTCTTGGGTTCCTCGCCTCTGTCACATGGGACCATGCAGTGGCCTGTGTATGCAACTGTCTCCTCTGCTAGACTGTAAGTTCCATGACGACAAGGACAGGGACCCTCTGTGTGTCATTGCATTTCCCGGACCCAGCACACTGCTGGGCAGAAAATGCCCAGGACCTAAATATTAGGCTTCCTCACCATCCCTGCGCACCAAAATACACACTGAAGCTGTACACTAGGGAAGCCACCTGGGAGAGCTTAGAGTTCTTCACTAAGATGAAGCAGGTTCCACAGCAATAGGCGGACCTCAACAATCTGGCGAAATCCTCCCATTCTCTTTATTTCTATTTTCTCCCTTTCTCCCGCAGAAATAGCTCCCTCACTTAAAATAGCTTCTTTTCTTATTACAAAAAAATATATCTGATTGTTATTTAAGTTTTGGAAAAGACAATCAAGCATAGAGGATAAAGGAGAAAATTAAACAATCCGTAACTCTCTCAATCTCTATAGGCATATATATAATATACATACAGATACTGCATGTATATTTATGTATATAATTTGTAGAATGGAAACATATTGTACACACTGTTAGTAATTGTATATAACTCTGTCATTTAATATTCTTCTATAGCTTCTTTTAATTTTTAGAACTGTTTTGCATGGTAATACTTCAAATAGATGTATCATTATTTATTTAACTGTTTTCCCTATTGGTTGATAGTTGATTTCAATGTTTTTTAAACCCTCTAACAATTCTTTGATGAGTGTCCTGTAAACCCAGGAGTATAGAGGAGGGGTCCAGGAAAAGCCTCCTGGAGGAAGTGACATCTGTCTGGAGAAGAAGATGCATGGGAGGTTCCCAGGGGAGGGGGAAAGGGCAGGAGGCCAGCGTTGCTGGGGGAAGAGGTGGGCTGTGCATTGCCTTGGACGTGAAGGAATGCGTGAGTGTTCTAGGAACTGGAAGTAGTTCAGTACAGCTGGAGGGTGTGTTGGGGGTGGGAGGAGTTGGGCTAAGGGAATGGACAGCAAGGGGGCCTATTGACCAGGTCACCAGGGCCAAGTCCTAAATGGCCCCGTAAGCCATGCTAAGCAGTGTGGGCTTTGAGCAATGGGGAGCCATTGCTGATTAGAGCAAGGAAGTGACATATCCAGGTTGGCGTCTTTGAAAGATCCCTGTGGCTGCTGTGTCTGAGCCAACTCCACATTCCACAGCTAGACTCGGAGCTGTTAACACAGTGAAACAGACGTCAGAGAGAAGAGAAAAAGAAGAAAAAAAAGAGCTCACATGTAACAGCTCACAGATAAGCTTTTCAAACTGTCTAGGTTCTTAGATTCAGGGCACGATTGAACAAGTCACAGTCCTTACTCCCCTCTCCAGCCCTGGAAGAGGTGCCATCTGATGTAAGTAACCCAGTTGCTTTTGGCCCCCATCCCTGTTCCAGGAGCCCCAGTGGTGTATCCGGATGACAAGGGGGTTGGGTTTTCTTTTAGTAGCTGAATGAGGCTGAAGTATCCACCCAAGGCAGCCAGAGAAGCAGGTGTGGTCCACGCTGCGTTTGTAATTAAATGCCAGCCGCCCAGCTGCCCATTCTCCAAGGACGCCGCAGGCGCAGAGCTGATGCGGGCTGTGCCTCCCAAGGGCTGACGTCTCCATTTAGGGAGCGCTCCTGAAGCTAATGGGCAGTGACAGCTCCATTTGAAAAACACGGAAACGCTTAGGGAGGCTGTGATCTGCCAGCCCCATAAGCTGCTTATTAGCAGGGAAATCACGCTCCCGCTGTATCGCGCCCCCTTGGTTAACCCCTGTTCTTGCGTCTCTCTGCTATCTCACTTAAAAATTTCATTGTTCTCGAGGCAGTGGGGGAGTGTTGGGAGAGGAGGCTGCAGAGCTGCTAGAAGCTGTTCGTTCCTCTGTCTCCCGTCACAGCCTCTGGGGAGGCCTCGGCAAAGCAGCAGCCTTCTGGCGTGGATGGGAAATTGATGGCTTTTAGAGAAAAACGGCCCCTGAAGACTCTATGCTAACATCCTTCCTATGATGGCTGGTTAGGGTCCCAACGCACCCAGGCCAAAGAGAAACGCCTGCAGGTCTGCCTTATAACGTGCCATCTCACTCCAACCATCCCCACCACAGGCGCCTCTTTGTATTTTCCATCTCCATCCCCTCTGCTCCACCCTCTCTTCCATGGCCCTATCCACCATCTCTCTCCTCTGCGTCATCTTCTACCCTCCCGAGTGCCTCTGCCATCAGTCTAGCTCCTGCTGCCCTTAGTGCCCACACCGCTGTGAGGGGACTCCCATTCGATCCTTGACATGTTCACTGGCCTCTCGAACTTACCATAAATGAAACTAAGTGCTCTGTTTCCCCCTAAATATGCTCTACCCCTCGCATCCTCCACCCAACCAGTTTGCTCAAGCCAAAAAAATCTTGGGGTCACTGATGGGTCCTTTCTTCCTCTCCTACCCCACATCGGATCCATCAGCAGATCTTGGGACACCGCCTCAGCATGGCCTAATGAGCAGTGCCATGTCCAGACCTGGGATCCGAACCAGCAAAACCCTGGGCTGCCAAAGTGGAGCGTGCAAACTTAACCACTTGGCCACGGGGCCAGCCCCAATTTTGTATAATTTTCTGCTGGCACAGGGTAATTTACTAGTAGCACATAGTAGATACTCAATAAATATTCATTGAATGAGAAAATGAATAAACAATGAAAGAATCTGGGCAGTAGTCCTGACCACACTGTGTTGACCCTAAGGTACCATCCTTTCAGGGCGTTTTCCCCACTGGCCAGCAGAACAGAAGCCAAGATATCAGAACAGCTGAAACAATTTAGCTTAGAATAACAAGCATATTTCTCTAAGTCTGACATGGATCTTTTAAAAATGCAAGGCTCTTTCCTCAGTGTTTAAAACTTAAACGTCATGAAAGCACCCCACCGTGGGGAGCAGATGCTCCCTGGAGGGGTTCGTAGTGGAAAACAAGAGCCAAATAATGCCTACAGCTTGGACGTGTTGAGCCAGGCACTGTACCTGGCACACGCATTATCTCGTGTTATCTTCATCACAACCCCATGTGAGAGGAATGAGAATCGTCCCCAGGTCACAAAAGAGGAAACTGAGACTTTAAGGGACTTGCCCAGAGCTGCGCATCTGGTGGGCAGCGATGCCCAGATTCGAACCCACGTCTCCAGGCTACGGCCGCGTGGGCTTCCTTCTGCCCAAATAGGACCTGAGCAGGAGGCTGCCCTCTGAGAGTTAGGTCCCGGCACACACGTCCTATACCTCTGCTTCCTTTCATTGCAGGGTGTGGAAGAGGAGCTGGTGCTCTTTCACTTTCTCAAATGACCTTCCCTCTTCCAGCCACTAAAGTTCAATGGCAGCCCTACCTTTTCTCATCAGACTCCTCCCAATGCCAAGTGCAATCGTCCACTGTCAGTGACTTTCCTGCTTGACCTCTTGGAGGTATTTCTGCTATAACGATGCCCTTCTCTTTGGATCCCCCTCAGTCCCCAGCTTATCTGCCATTGCTCTCTCCTGGTTCTGCTCTTACCGCTCAAAGTTTTAGGGGGAGTTTTCTCATTGGGAGACGGGAATCAAACACCTACTTCACGGGGTGGTTACGTGAATTAAAAGGTAACATATGGGAAACACTTGGCAAGTGTCAGTTGCCTGGGAAGTGCTCAATGATCTTTATGACTAGTATTATTATCTCTTTTCCACCCTTCATATTCTGTCCTTTAAATTTTTTTTCAAGTTCTCTCTCCCAAACTGCAGAACTGGTACTTCGAGCTGCCTCAGGTCACCCCCTAGAATCTCACAGGTCCCGCAAGGTCATCATGTCTGAAACAGAAATAGTCATCTTTCCCATTTCTCCCACTTTCTTCGTCTCAGTGATTGATATAACTACATTCTCTGTCATTCAAACCAGAGACCTCATCATCCCATCTTTGGCTTCTCCTCCCTCCCCGCCCATCCCTGCCACACTCCATTATCCAGTCAGTCCCCAGCCTGTCAACTGTTCTTGGAAAATAGAGCCAGGAGTTAGGGCTCTGACCTCAGACGGACCTGGCTCACAGTGCAGCTCTGCTATTTGTTAGCTGTGTGGTCTTGAACAAATTACATAATCTCCCTGCCCTCAGTTTCCCCATCTGTACAATAGGGATGATAATAATACTCACTTCATAGGGTCATTGGGAGGATTAAATAAGATAACGCACATAAAGAGCATTCCAGGGTGCCTGGCATATAGCAAACACATAATAAATATTAGTTGTCATAATTATTATTACTGCTACTACTATGTTATTACATTGTAGTTACCTCCTGTAGACACCATGTTTGAAACACTTAGAACTTTTGTGAAAATGAATTTTGCTGGTGAAGAACAAAGAACAGATTTAGTGACTCGTCTCTTCTCATTAGGTGGAAATGAGCGTGTGCATGTGTGTGCACTCATGCATGAGCACACACAGGTATGCATGTGCAAACACACACGTGTTACCACTCTGCCTCAGACTAGGGCCTTTTCATATACGGTAGACGGACCGCAGGATGGTGAGAAATGGCAATGATTTTCTCCCTAGGACCCAGTTGCCCCATCGAACACTGGTTTGTATTTCATCCCACACCCTTCATTCCCGCTTGGAGAGAATGGCTGAGTTTACCTCCTGGCACCTTGTAAGTAAGGGTCAATGACTTAGCCAGCTAACCAGGCCCTTGTGGTGGCCCATGCATTACAACCACCAAACCCAGGTCTTGGGATCTTTCTCCATTGACTGGAGTTTGTAAACTCCTGTATCTGATGAGCTGGAAAACGTCATTTGTTCCTGATTGAGAGCCAGAGGACAGCACTTTGAGGGACCTGCTGCTAAGTATTGGGACCTCACAGGTGATGTATAAGCAGGTCATTACTTTGCATCATGTGCCACATGAAACATCTCAGGTACCTTAATCCCATCTCTTTCAACAGATGAACTTGGCTGACTCCTGGGGGTAGGGGGTGGGGGGACATGCCATGTGTCACCAGCCCCACCATCTCATGCCTTTACCATACAGCTCCTGACTGCCCAGAAGGACACCAGGGGCAGCTCACGAGCTACAGGAACTGAAGGTCGGGAGCCCAAGGTCATAAGAATTTTGCATTTTATGTTGCTCTCATTTCAGATCATTGAAACAATCTCTCTGAGGTAGTGAAAGGGAAGGGATCGAAGAAAACCACACCCGATTTTGTTTGGTTCTGTTGTTTTGATTTTGGTTTTGTTTTTTTTTTTCCACCCACCACAAGTTCTTTTCTTCCCCTCTCATAGTGTGGGCGAAATGCTGAAAACTTCGACAGATTTTTCACCCGCCATCCACCAGTCCTAACACCTCCTGACCAGGAAGTCATCAGGAATATTGACCAATCAGAATTCGAAGGATTTTCCTTTGTTAACTCTGAATTTTTAAAACCTGAAGTCAAGAGCTAAGTAGATGTGTAGATCTCCGTCCTTCATTTCTGTCATTCAAGCTCAACGGCTATTGTGGTGACATTGTTTTTTTCATTGCAAAGTTGCATCCATGTCTTTATTTGCTGATGAGACTAGAGTGACCGTGTTTCAGAACCCAAATGTCCTCAGGTAGTTTGGAGCATCTCTGTGAGATGGGATTATGCAGATGGCGTATGGAAATGCTGCTGCATAATTAACACGTTATCATAGTCCTCTTACAATTTATTTTTTCCAGCATGTCAGCCAAGTAGATCCAGTGGGGACAGAAAATGCCTGCTTTCTTCCCCTTTTATTCTGCACTACTGTTTTCATACCTTCTCCAACTCCAACCATCCAGTCCAGATTTTTCTTACCAAATGAGTGGATAATCGGATGCTAGCCTATTCTTCCACTTCTGGACCTGGAGCTTGGCTTGTACCCAAGTTTATGGTTTCTTTGACTTAGAGGGAATTCCTCCATTCTGCCTGGTTTGGAAACACCATGAGCTTTGAAAAGAACGTGCTAAAAATAAAATTTTATTTGTTATTTTTTTTAACTCAAAGTTAAGAAGATTATCTAAGCCCTTTGAAAATTCTCAGAGTGTGCTTTTAGGCAGTTTCGATCTAAAAGCACCTCAGAGGTCAAAAGACAACCAGCTTGGGTGCTGCCTCAGGACTGTAATTTCTGATGCTATATGTCCCCAGTGACCTTCACCCCCAAACTACTTGAAAAGGGCATTTGGCACCACTCCCTGAGAAGGCATGGTCACTCTACATGGTCCCAACGGGCCACGGTTTTACATTACATTTCAAACTTTATTTGCTTTGGGGTTTTATTTCTGTTGTTGTTCAAGTGCAAAAAAATTCCTCACTTTGTTACACACGCTTTGAAATATGTGTCCAAATGTTATTAACCATGATGACCTGCTTTGATTTGCCAAGAGGACAGCTCTGGCGCCAGCAGACCCAGGCCTGTGTGGATGGGATTTGTCTAGGTTCGTTGCTGGCTTTGGAAAGCTAATTAAGTGCTCTGAGAAAGACACCATTTCTTGACACATAGACAGTTGTATTCTTCACTTTGATGTTGTTTTGCAAGATGTTTGTGAAAATGTTCATTTGTATCTGGATATCTGTTATGTGCCATTTTTCTTCTAGCGTCAGCATACAATAATAAAAAAAAGAAGAAGAAGAAATGCTATTTCAAGGAAAACAACTCTCTTTGAAAAATGTGGACCCAAACTACAAAGTGGGGCCTCTCGAGGCTTCAGGAGAGAAAGGAGCTAAACCCAGAGCTTAATCTTGGCCCCAGTGTTCAGCCAGTTCAGAGAGGCTGGGACTGGGGACCGTTCAGGGACTCCTGGTGGCCTGTAATAGGATGGGGTGAGCTAGCTGGGGGGCCTCCAAGGATGTCAGAGCTCAAAGCCCACAGCCCCACCAGTCACGTTTAGGGGTCAGCTTGGAGCGTGGCTGGGGCACGCTCCTGTTTTTCTTATTAAAATCACCACTCCTCCCAGCTCGGACGAAACATTCTTTCCAGCAAGCAGCTTTATGAGCCCCCAGAAGCCCAAGGAAACCCCCTGGGTGGCAGAAATCCCATTTCTTTCTGAGTGGATGAGGACAGCAAATGGCTCCCCATCCTTGCCTGCTGCCTCCTGCTATTTGCAGGCAGCCCTAAAGAGAATTCTTATCACAAGTCGAGTGATTTCCAGAAGCGCCAGGGCTTCTAAGAGACCATCAAGGGAACTTGAAAAACTTGACAAATGTCCTTGAAGTAAGACTTCTCATCTTAAGAAAACCATGATTTGGATTTCTGCTTAGGCCAGGGTCCTGCCCTTCATTCCTTTCTGCCCTCTTGCTTCTCCTTGCTGCAGGCTTTGGGGCCATCTCTGCTACTGCCATGGTGGTGGCAATCTAGACCTCAGGTGAAGCAAACTTCAGTCCTAGCTGACAAGCTTAGGAGGCTAGAGAAGGAGGGAAATCGAGGCACAGCCCTCTCATTTTATTGTTGGGGAAACTGGCGTCTGGAGAGAGGAAGTGACTTGCCCAAGGTCAGCCAGCTGGGATGCAAACCTGAGTGTCCTGATTCTCAGGGCGGGACTCCTCCTGCTCTATAACCAGCATCTCTGAGCCATGCCCATCAACAGGCAGGTTATCTGAGGCCCTTCATCTGGCCGTTGGGTCACCAGGCTTTTCCTTGGATATACTCTCAGGAAGATAAAAACATGGAGAAATGCTGGGACGTTGACAAATGATTTATGACAACTTTTGAGAACAATGTAAGATAGATAGACACAGATAGATAGACTAAACTGTCTATATATACTGCACTCTAAGTTTTCTGAATTGCTGCCATTATTTTTCAGAAGTTTAACAGTTTGCATACATAGATGCTCAGGCCAAAGTCTCTGTTCCCCTAACATGTCCTACTGAGGTTGGTCAGGAAAGCCTTCTGTGGAAGTAAGAGATCGTTAGTCAGAATTCCTGCAGTTTCCTTTTCTATCAACATTTCAAGTAAAGATGAGACCAAGATACAGCTTTTAACATATATAATCTCTGGGCAATAGTTCGCAAATTTATCCTGGAAGGAAGATTTTTAATTTATTTTTGCCATCATCCATGTATTCCACCCTCCATTAATTCATCCAACCAGCATTTATTGAGCACCAGCTGTGTGCCAGGCTCTGTGCTGGGTGCCAGGAGCACAGTGAGGAGCCATCCAGATGCCGTCCAGAGGGCAGTCATCAAACAAGTGACTAAAAGCATGATAGGATCTAGAGATAACTAGTCTCTGCGTTAGTCAGGGAGGCTTCTTACGAGAAAGAGAAACTCATTAAAATCTTCGGGGCTCTTTCTTCTCTCTGGAGACCACAGTTTGAGGCTGAAGGAGAAGCTGCAGCAGCGCCCTCTTGACTCAGAGTTCTGGGACAATCCTATAGCATGATGGGTGAGGAAAGAGAGAGGCAGGATGGAAGCTGGGGTGGGTTTCCCTCTAGAAGGCCAAAGGCACGGTCTCTGTGCTCGAACAGACCACAGGATCACCAAGATCTGAGCAGAGACAGGTGCTCATGTGGAGAAAGGGAGCCAGTTTTACAGCTCGCTTCCGAGTCCTGGCTCTCACCTCTTTATTCCTGCAGGCATTACCCTTTCCGGGTCAGGGAGACACTGCTGTCCTTCCAGCACACTGTCCCTGGCCTCACGCCACTTGGTTCTTCTAGATGAGACAGATTGAGATTTTCTGAAAGAACCTAAATAAGGGCAGAATTTAAAAAAAAGAAAATTTAATGAGAAAATCCAAAGAAACCTAAACACATCCATGTTAGCCATGGTTAATTGTCTACCAGGATCCAGGAATCCTCTTTTCATTCCTTAGACTTCTCACTAACCTGCTCCTCTTCTAAGAAAAGATAGTGCCGTGGTCACAATGACCTTCTTGGGGAATTAATAGGAGGCCAGTGGAATTAATAACCCTCATTGGATTAGTGAGACTATTCTCATGTGGCTTCAAATGCTATCAACCCAGAAAGGAATTGTCCCAACATTCTCTCCCAACTTCTAGGGTAAAATTCAGGGATATTTCCTATGGGGACCTGCCAATAGGGCAAAGTCCATCATGGCAAGTCCTCTTTGGACCATGTGGCTGTTTGACGCATGAGACATCACCAGCACCACAAATGGGAAGGGCTTTCAAAGTTGTGGGTAGTGGGAAAGGAGCCCTGCTGGATGCCCACAGGCAGGGAAGGCCACATAGGTTCATATTACCAGGGGAGACCCGAAAAGAGGCAGCTTCTTGCCTTCTAGCCCAAGATATACCCACGACCCACACACAGCCCTGGAGCTGTCAGACCTCGAAAGGGATTAACACAGTTCAGTCTATACTGTGACTCAAAATGGGCAGTGGCCCATGTGAGAGACCCTTAAGATCAATGGGAACAATTGTTTTGCTATAGAGTGAAGTCTCTGACTCGGGGACAACTATAAGTTGAGAAAGGGGAAGAGTCTCATCCTTCCTCAGGTCTTCATTCATTGATTCATGCATTCAACAAATAATTGTGGACAGCCTGCTGTGTGTCATGCATTATTGTTGGCACTGGAAATACGATAGTGAAGAAACAGACAAGGACTCTGTCCTCCTGGAGAGAGGCAATAAATAAACAAGACAATTGCTGATGGCAGCAGGTGCCATGAAGACAATTGAAAGGATGCTAAAGTATGATTTCTGGAGTCAGGAAAGGGATGCACAGACAATGTTAAAGGAAGAGCTGGCAATTGAGTTTTTCTCTGAACACAGGAAGTGATGCATTCAGTGCCTGGGACAGCACAGGACAGGCTCACAACAGGCAGGAGACACAGCAGAAGAGGTGGCATGTGGCAGGAGACGGCCCATCATCCAGAGAACAGCTCCGTCAGCACCTTCAGCCTCTCTGCTGTGGCTACACGTACTGAAATGTGTTCCTGATGTCCCCCTTACTCCTGCACCCCAACACGTACACTGCACAAGTGAGTGGAGAACTCCATAGGCACATGTTACCTATCTCAAGGGAGCAGCCCAAAAAAAGGAATTCTTGTGAGAGGTGTCTTGCAAAGGAGAATGAGCCCAGCAATGAGAAATCCTTAGCAGTCAGTGCCCACTGGGGGCCAAGACTAAAGCATGGATGGCGATTGGCCAGACTAGCAAGTCAGTCAGTCCTCACTGACCCTCCCCTCTTGACTGTCTGCTACAACTCTGGCTAACGCCAGGCAGCCTGCTCAGTAACAGTGAAACCCAGGCATTATCCTTGGTTTTCCTGTAATAAACCAGCCACTGGGCTGTCTCCCTCGAATCAGAGGGACTGAGAT